GGTGTTGACTATACCTTTTGGATGCTTCGGTCAAAAACCAACTATTTGATTAGAGTAGCTCAAGAGTTAACAGTGGGTGGTGTTGACTATACCTTTTGGATGCTTCGGTCAAAAACCACTATTTGATTAGAGTAGCTCAAGAGTTGGCAGTGGGTGGTGTTTACTATACCTTTTGGATGCATCGGTCAAATCCTACTATTTGATTAGAGTAGCTCAAGAGTTGGCAGTGGGTGGTGTTGACTATACGTTTTGAAAGCATCTGTCAAATACCACTATTTGATTAGAGTAGCTCAAGAGTTGGCAGTGGGTGGTGTTTACTATACCTTTTGGATGCATCGGTCAAATCCTACTATTTGATTAGAGTAGCTCAAGAGTTGGCAGTGGGTGGTGTTGACTATACGTTTTGGATGCATCGGTCAAATCCCACTATTTGATTAGAGTCGCTCAAAAGTTGGCAGTGGGTGGTGTTGACTATACGTTTTGAATGCATCGGTCAAATCCAACTATTTGATTAGAGTAGCTCAAGAGTTAACAGTGGATGGTGTTGACCATCTAGCCGCCTTTCTTCTAGTCTATCACTGCTAAATTAGGGACGGCTGGCACATATATCCCACGAGTAGATTTGTGTGAAATTTAAAACATACCAAATTAAATCTTTCACATCAGTGATAGATGTGTGTGTGCTGACAAAGGGTGGTTCTGATCGAATCGGATCTTGTTAGCTCAAGGTATGTTTCTAATTTTAGTGTTTTTTAATGTTCACTAACATTTGTCATTACACATTCTTAGAATTGTGATTTCCTAGTTCATCATACACACTAACATCAATTATCATCTTGAAACAAAAGCAACACACAGGAATATTCAAGACTTGTTAGATATACATTTGCTTTTTTTCGTCAAGAAACAACGATAGTTTAAGCCTATTATAATAGATAGATTTCTAAACTTCCATAGTAGAGTAACTTTATATATTGGCTTTACGTGAAGAATCACGACACAAATGCAATGATTAGGGACATGCCTTTTCCGACCTCCTTGTACGTGTTCTGTCACTTGTGAATCGAACTGGAGGAGTGGAATTATGTCTCGACAGGCCAATAGGATCCACTCGAGGAGAGAGGATGGGACGGGGGACAGTAGGAGGTGATGCCTTTACAGGTGGGTGTAAGGCTTCCCAGTAGCTTTCCAGAATCTCTCCCAGGTGTTCACAGGCATCTTCCAGCTGATTCTCGTCCAGTATCGCGTCGAACATTTCCTAATTAAAATGAGTATATTTGTAGTAACCAACTATTCTACGAACTTTCCTGCCTGTGACTAAGCTTGAAAAATTAATATTTAAATAAGGACATTCATCAAGCTTTCCTTTAAAGACTAAAAAAAATTTCTTACTAGGGACACCGAACTAGGTGTTTCAGTAGACACAAAAGGAGTTTTTGTTCGGGAACACAGATGCACACTTACAGGAGACACAAGGCTAACTTTTCTTTTAGGAACAAAGATGTATAATTACAGGAGACACAGAACTGAAATTTCTTTAAGGAACAGAGATGTACATTTACAGGAGACACAGAATTGACTTTTCTTTGAATAACAGAGACGCACATTTACAGGAGACACAGAATTGACTTTTCTTTAAATAACAGAGACGTACATTTACAGGAGACACAGAATTGACTTTTCTTTAAATAACAGAGACGTATATTTACAGGAGACACAGAACTAGCTTTCTTTAAAGAACGGAGACGTAACTTTTATTTAAAGAAGATTTAGTAGAGACACTGTGCTACATTTTTTAAAACCTGAGGAAGTAACTTATAGGAGTATAATGAGCTAACGTTACTACTTACAGGAGGACATTGAGCTAACTTTTCTGCTGCGACCATCTGAACATTCAAATTTCTACTTTGTGACTTTCCTCTGGATTTGATCAACCGCTGAAGAACCTACATTAATAGAATAAAGCCGTTATGAAGTCTAAACAAATCACAATAAATATGTTGCATGACTTAAAGCAGACGGAGTTTATAATAAGACCTAAAACTACTGTAATACAGTCGTTATATAAATTTAAATTTTGAAAGGTTAACAATAGTTGAAGGTCCTAGCAAGCACAAGAGCTTTAATACTCAGAAGGTATTATAACTGTTGTAGAATTTAAAACAAAGGCTTTGCAGGCACAGTCACACTAATCTTGTGATTCTTGGTAGGGTTTTCTTTTCAGTATCCCCGATGTCTTCAAAACTCAAAGCTTTCTTTTATCAGCATGAAGGACTATACTGAAAGATTTTTCTCCTACTCTCCGACACAATACACTGCAACACTAGAAAAGGAAATCGTTTTGAAATCACAATATTCTGAACTACTATCCTTCTGGTAAATCCTAAATATCCTAGGTTCTTCTTCTTAATATATCAGTTTTATCTTTAAAGTTAAGAAGATTTTTAGTTTGATCTGAAAATACGTATGGACAAAACTATTTAATAACTTTTCCAACTTTGTATCTTAACTTGAACAAAACAAGCTGAAGTACGTTAATACCACAAGTGACAGGTCTCCTAGAAACCAACAAATCCAATCCCAAGTATGTTAATATCACAATATCAGGTCTCTGAGATTATGAGCAAAATATCATTAATAGTGATGGTATTTAACAGTTTACTCAATGTGTTTTAACCGCTATAGGTTTTAGTTTTCTTGAGTATTGTTCATTTATTACAACATTATGTTCTTCTTGCAAGTTTGTTCGTTTCAACAGACGGTTGAGTACGTTAATTATATTTAAACAATTTTGGAGCCTTACTACATTGTTACAGTTCATGCCGACACGCCCGGTCAAGCTCTGTCTGACGACCGTGCATGTTGACAATAGCCTTTTAGCGTGGTTTTCCTTGCAAAAGGCTTCGTGGTAAGGTTGTCATGTCTAAAGCACATCACTTCTCCCATATTCTATCTAGTTTAGGAGGACATTTCAACATTCCAATCGCACAGGGAAACTTAGGCGCTGAATCCGGCAGCTCAACCGGTATGCCTTAATATGGAATAGTGTGAATACCCATTTCATTTTCCGGCTGATTGAGGTATGGAACAATTGAACGGAAGGTGTGGCTGTAAGTCCTATTTGGTTAATCCATATTCTGTTGATCTCGTATACAGACGAGATTCTTCTAGATTATTTTGCATACTGTTGTATGGGATACGTGGACGGCTTTGGCCACTGAACTTCGTGTTTGTAGATTCTCACCTATTACAAGACATCACACTTTATTTACAATGGCTGAGATACGATTTGTTGCAGGTCTCTTTCTATATTGTCCTGGCTCTCCAAGTTGATCCATATAAGGATTGTTTAATAGTGCCATTACGTACAAGGGATATACCTGTATTGGAGATTCTAAATCTCTGATCTGAACACATCTTTATGATCTGTATATGTGTGTTAATAGTTTGCTTCCGACAAGGCTGTTACATATCCTTCCCAAAAGCGGGCATCACACTACCTACGTAATGTCAAAATATAGTTCTGATACAGGTCGTTCGTTCCGCCACGACTTTATATCGGCTGTGATTTTTAGATGACTTGCTTATTTGCATATTGACATTTGTTTCAATATAACGTACTCCACTTTGTATATTGTTAACATACACTGATCAGGAATTATTAATAATCTTTGTAGGAGGAAGAGCAAATTATAATTCCTTAATCTAAAACATATTTTAAACATCCTTCTATTCATAATTAAAATTAAAATGTAAAATTACAAATAACTATGCGGATGATTCAACAGCGGATTGGCCATGTCGATTGCTCCTCAAAGCACTAGTTTACGTTATTGACTAAACTTGCATTGGGTTAGAAGTAACATTATTAATACATTCAATACTGCACGTTAAGTACCTAAAATCGATTCATCTAACACCCTTCTTTAACTATTCTACCAGATCACCAATCTGCCTTTTTCATCATTTAATGAACTTTGAGTTCCAAAGTCTAATAACTTGAACTGCTCTGGTAATGCTCCATGATGTTACACCTTCTACTGCAAGAAACTTTAAACCTCAGAAATTTTGTAAAAATCAAACAGTTTTCAAAATAGCAAACACAGCCAAGAACATGGGCACTGTCGTCAAATACAGTTGTTGTACGACCTAAAACACATTATAACCAGTCCCAGTTTCAGCTTTTTTTAACTAGGGGGCAAGTGAGACATATAAGGCCAACTCTAAAATACATCATTAGATTAATGGTCCCCCAGTGATTCGGCAGAAGGTCTGCAGACTTACGAAGCTAAAAATCGTGCCTCGATACCTGTGGTGGGCAGGGCACAGATGCGTCATTGAGGGGGCTACGACATTTCGGGGGGACGTCCCCCTCTAGCACTTTTCCTGGTTACAGTAGTTTTATGACTTTCAACAGACCATAATGAAGTCATTGTACGATATGTGATAAATTTGATATAATTATTATAGGTCCTAAATCAGACACGTTACAATTATTGTAGGCCCTTAAATACTCATAATACAACTGTTAATTAGTCTATGAGATTTCATTATGATATTAAAAGACTGTTGGTAAGTTAGTATACATTTGGTTAGAGCCTCCTAAAAAAATGGAATTTGATAAAAACCACTAACACTGTCAGACACAAGGACATTTTTTCCATGATACTAAAGCTTTGAATGCAGCTGAAAAGCAACTTTAGGGTGAAGTAATCTTCTTGATTTTCTCACTGTATCAGTACATGTTAGGGGTGTGTCACACAAACTGGACTGCATGCTTTTATGGACACTGTAATATGGTGAAAACGTATAATTCATAAAATATATAACAATGAATTGTCTAAAGACCCAATTGCAATCGTAGCTTTATGATTTAAATGGTGAAGATATCGTATAGAAGAATGAGGAACAAGTCGTCATGGTTACATGAAAGAATATAAGCATTTTTATTGTAACAAGGACAAATCTTTGTTATTATAGAAAACCCACGGTCGTCATGGAAACGGTCGTATAAAAGCACTTGCTCATTAGCTGTAAAAGCATTATACAGATCTCAAAACTGAAGTAAAAATAGTTTTATGAAACTGAAAAACTGACGACACATTTCATGGAAGTATAGAAAGTTTGTAGCCGCACATAAGCTCTCTTAATGTGAAATTGAAAATTATCTTCCTTTTCTACGATAGAAGTCGATCTAGCATTAACGTTTAGGGTAATCTTTTTTTTTAACCCTATTACAAAGAACACTTCGCTACGTTACACAAATTCAAAATACTGTAAACGGAAATGAATATTTGATTCACCTTTGGGGAAGATATTTTAAGATATACAATAATAGGCGATAGGGAAGTCTTGGTAAGTTGGGAAGGGTGGTTTATTGTATCACAGTCTAATACCACCAGCTGTAACGTCCGAGCTAATTCAAATATTCTCTCTATTTCCTCCTGGACTTTAGCTAGAAAGAAAAAAAAATCTAAATTCACTAGTTATAGTTATCAAAACTGCATAAATTTTACTGTTATTTTAAGCCTAATAGTAATTCAAAATAGTTCATCTATAAAATCAATATCTTATGACTTTTTCCCAAATACTAGTTACACTATAAAATTATAGGTTCACATACAACATTAAATAGGATTTAGAATAGTTGGATCCATAGACAACGTCTTTGGGTCTAAGAAAGCTCAATAAATTCAGGTTTATATAAGGAAGAAAAATTGTCAACTCTCCAGATCTACAACAGTAAGTCAGACTGTCAACGTCTCCAGGTCTATAACAGTAAGTCAGATTGTCAACGTCTCCAGGTCTACAACAGTAAGTCAGATTGTCAACGTCTTCTGGTCTACAACAGTAAATCAGACTGCCAACGTCTTCAGGTGTACAACAGTGGCAAAGACGAATATATCATGGTTTGAATACTATTATTATTATACAGTATTGTAATTTTTCAAAATCCCTAAGGGTCTAGATAACGAATACAGTATTAAAAGTATAATAGACTTAATATTAATGTATGACAAGTATAATTAATTATATACATCCCTTGTCAGCTTGGCGTTCAAATCATAATAATTGTAGTTGAAAAGATTGTTAACGTCTTCAGGTATAAAGAGAGTTGGACAGGTAACAAGGCTAATATTCCTTTTATATTATATTACATGAACAATTTTTAGAATGTCTTAGAAACACAAACGACGTCAAGCAAACACACAGTTTCATAGCACTTAATCTGATCTCTCAAACAGTACATCTATTCATACACAATGCACAGCATTTTACGGTTTTACAACGCTAAAATTCGGGGTTCGATTCCTCGCTGTGGACAAAACGCAGATAACCCATTCTTTGGCTTTACACTAAAATAAACAAAGATTCGTGTTAAATAAAAGTTACGAGTTGAAGAATGCATCAGTTAAACGTTTGAAAACAGTTTACATTTTATATATAGAAATATTTCTAGTCCATAACTGAACAAATCGAATTTACGCATATTTTTTTTCTCTCGTGAACTTGTTCCGAAATGTTTGATTTTCACCAAAAGAAAGAAGGTTTGAGCACTAAGTGTGTTAACTGAGTTTAGTTGATTCATAAAGTCAAACTTGTCTATACTTACTAACGAAGTAAGTCTGCTTTATGCTACTCAGAGAAAAAAAATCCCTCTGTGACGTAGGGAACGGCCGTGACCTACGGTTGTTGTGCCGGACCGTGAATGTGCGATCCATGGTTCGCTTCCCGTTGACGCAAAATAGTGCTTTTCACTTTCGGGTCGTGAGTGACGGTCACGTCCAACTACTTGATCAGAGTGGCTCAAGAGTTGGCGGTGAGTGCTGAATACCAGCTGTCTTCCTTCTAGTCTATCTTGGGGTCGTGGGTGACGTTCACCTCCAAGTATTTGATCAGAGTAGCTCAAGAGTTGGCGGTGAGTGCTAAAGACCAGCTGCCTTCCTTCTAGTCTATTTTGGGGCCGTGGGTGACGGTCACGTCCAACTATTTGGTCAGAGTAGCTCAAGAGTTGGCGGTGAGTGCTGAAGACCAGCTGCCTTCCTTTTAGTCCATCAGTTCAAATTTAAGGACATCTTGCGCTGATAGCTATGCGCGAATATCGGAGACAAACAACTTTAAAGTAACGGGTCTCTTACCTAAACACGACGCCCGACTACTGGATTTCTCCACTATAGCTCTTTTGCTTGGGTTGTTCAGCAGAGATCGCTTGGCCAAGGAGATATCAGATGTCACCCGAGTGATGATAATCCTAATACGAAATATTTAATAAGTTGCAACAAAACACCTGTAACACTGACATGGAAAACCCAACATAAATACTCGATAAAACTCGGTAGACCTGTTACAATTCTTACATTTAATGTTGCTAAAAGTTTTGATCCTTAAATATGCAGCGAGAAAGAACAAATCAAAAGTATTTTAACGAACCTCATAACGATCCATTTTATATATCTGACTTCAAAATTGTTTTTCTTGTAATGTTAGACAACATTAACAAATATAATGGCAAAATAACACATTGACAATTCGCCAAGGTTTCAAGTTTTAGATTGTTTTGATAAATTCCAGAAAAAAACTTGAAAATCTTATTGAGACAAACTTAACTTCTGACTGATGCGAACGATAACTTACAAGTGAAGTAGCTTACGTTATCTCACACTAATTAGGTGTACACATGATTAACTTCAGTTTTATCTAATCATTGTTTAGATCATATATATTAGAGATTATTAATCTTGCTTTAATTCGAAGACCACATAGTTCACTTGTATTTAGATCACAGAAACGGTATATATACTAACGCTAAGGAAGTTTTATCGATTCATCTTGATTGTTTAAAGAGTTTGTTCTCCACTTACTGGTTTCACGATGCTTCCATGGACCCTGGAACATGGTCAACACGTCTAAATAAGAGGCGCGAAAACATTGAAAAATGCTATAAATAACAACAACAACAAAAAAAAAAGGAATGATGAGGTCTGAGCAATGAGTTCGAAATCAGGTTGTGCATAACCACCCAAACACACACATACAAAAAAGAACGTTTAGAATTTGAAACATCGTAAAAAATACAAGAAGGGCTCCGAATGTAATCTAACACATCGTGGTATATCCAACCATGTAACATGCAAGAGATCATGCATGCTGCACAAAATCCACTAAAAAGAAAAAAGGAAAACAAAAAGGAACAAGAAAGACTCAGAATGAATTCTAAATCCCGTCATACCCCATAAAGAGGCATGGGAAGGAATTGGTAAAAGCTAAAAAGTTATTCCCTTCCTTTCCCTCCCTATCCAAAAAAACAAACAAACAAGGCACATGAGATACTTATCGTGGAAGAGTTTTGGTTATAATGGTCTTTTTGTAGAGTTGATCGAACAATAACTCAACGTGGATTCTACAAATCCAATTACATTCGCAACATGTACAGAGAAACTTTCACGCAGCTCACCGGACGAGTTCTAGATTTATAGCACACTGTTTCTAAACTTCATACTTTAAAAAATTGAATTTAAATAAATTTTTAAATTAGTATTTTCCCCTACCTGCCTTCGAACTTGTGCTTTAAGAAATCAAAAATGGCTTTCTGCATCATGTCCGTGACTTCATAACCCTTGAGAGATGGACCTACGAGGACCACTGGCCGGACGGAAGGCACTACATCGTATGGTGGAATGCTTTCTGTCTAAAAAGATTTAACGGTAAAATAAAATAAAACAATACTATTTTCCTTCTGACAGTCTTCAGTCTAATCTGAAATAGCTTACTTTTATGATTACATAAAATAACTTTATATATGCATGTTAAAAATCAGATCTAGGGTTTTTATACCAGTTAGCAAATGTGTATGGATGAAAGCGTTGATAAGAAAACTTACATTTCTCAATGTAAACAACAGAAAAAAACGGAATTACTTCTTTGAAATTGAGAAACAATTATTTTGATGTTTTAACATAAGAAACTCAGTTTTTATGATACATGCTAGCTTTCTTAGATTCTAATAGATGGTATTTAACACCCATTTGACCGACCTTGTAACCACCACAAAAAAAAAAAAAAA